AATAAAATAAGTTTTAAATAGAATTGTTTTAAAGCAACAATGAGGGAGTTCTGTTCATGTCGCTCATCAGGAGTCGAGCAGCCAACTTAACAGCTGTCCATCTGTGGTGGTTCCAATCTACCTGTTGAGCAGAAAGCTGGACAACCTCCTTCTGTGTGAATTCTACTTTAGAAACCCAATGAAGGATCAGCTAAGAGTTGGTTCTGGCTCAAAGGTAATGAGTTGGGTTGATAATTCCTGTTTAGGCACTTACCTAAGATGTGGAATCTTTTTTGTTCTGATGCAAAATCAAAACACATTCACACAAAAACTCCTGCACATTGGTCTCTTAGCAGCATCACTCAGAAGAGCCCAAAGCAGAAAACCGAAATACCAATTATCAGGCAAAAACATCAATATAGAGTATAAGCTACTGCGTGCATCAAAAGTGTACATATTTCAAACATCTAAGTGAACAAAGTCCGCTACAAAACGACTACCCATGACACGCATCCACTTATGGATCGAGGATACGCGACTCCTTAGCCGCAGAGTGACCAGGGCTTTCAGTCTCGAAGCCTGGGGGACACTCTGTTGTGGAGTCAGCTCCGAATCCCAGCAACCCACCACTAGGTCTCCAAGGCTGTCAAGGGTTATAGCAGACTGTCCATCTTTCTGCTGAGATTAGCTGGTGAATCCGAATGGCTGGTCTTTGAGTTAGAAATCTGTTAGCTTATACACTATGCCACCACAGTTCGGGGAAGCTGATGGGAAATGAGGAATGACAATGAAAACTGTTGGACAAGTCCTTTTGCAGATGGTTGTACGAGAAGAGCCAGGGAAAGAAGAGGCTCTGTAAAAACGTTTGAACTCCTGGGAAGAAAGAGGAGAGCCTCTGCAGGAGCGGCCTTATCTGGAAAGCCAGGAAGTCTATAAAATGTATGCAAATGTTTTACTGCTGGGCTAGAGAAGCCGTGATTTTGTAGAAGTACTCCCTTATCTAGAAAACCAAGTTATGGCCTATGTGGAAGCTGAAAAGCTAATGCTGATGCTTGAAAATAACCAATGAGAGAGCAGCAGAATTGCTTCTTTGTCTGTTTCCTATAAAAATTCCTGAACCAAGCAGTTTGGGGAGTCCAGTGATTTAGGAACTGTATCTACCCAAAGCTCCCACTAACACAGCAAAAATGTCCTGTTACTAAAGAGGAATTCGTGTTTATTCATTCCCAAGGGGTCTCCCTTGGGTTTCATCTTCCTGTAGTAGTTAAAAATCTTTGCAAATATGCTAGAAAGATATTGAATTGTATACATCAAATGAGAAATCATAGAACTATACATCCATAAACTAACAATTTGAAATTGAGTAATTAAAACTAAAAGAAATTATCAAAAACTATGATACCACTGTTGATACAAAAACTTTCCCTTGAATTATTAACATGCTTAAGTATCCAGCAACTAACAAAAAAGCTGGTGGTTCAAACCAGCAGCCAGCGTTGCCCTAACTGGACAGCTCTGATCTATTTCAGAGAAAACGGCCAGAGACACTGAGACATCTGACAAACATGGGTCACAGTGAAGCGGAAGTGAATCAGAAGAGTGAGAGGTCAGGTAGATCCCAAGGAAAGGTTTTTCTACTTAACCTAACAAAAGTCCACAAAAAATCATGCACAAGAATTTTCAGAGCATTATTCTTGATAACAGCCTAAAAATGAAAATACCTGAAAATGTACAGCAACAATGTTCTTGTTGTGTATAGCTGTGTCAGAACCAATCACAGCTGACCCTCCAACTGATTTTCAGGGACAGTTAATCACACGAAGGAGACTGTCCACTCCTGGAGCAGCTGGAGGATTCAAACCATGTGCTTGTGAGACTGCAGCACAGCTTCTTGCCACGAGATCATCAGTGCTCCCTTCACAGGCCTCCTATTACAGTGCTTCCATACAGCAACAACAGTATGTATAAATAAAGAACAGCGTATTTCCCCCCATCTTGCAAGATGGTGGGTGAAAAACCAGGCACCAAGGAGAAGAAGCCTGAGGCCAAGCCTGAAGCCAAAAAGGCAGATGCTAATGGCAAAGCTAAAAAAGCCAAGCAAGGGCATGGGCAAAATGCCCAAGAAGGGGAAGCCCCACTGCAGCCACAGTCCTGTCCTGGTCTGAGGAATGGGCACATTATTCCCAATCAGACATGTATTCCAAGGAGGCCACATACACGCAGAAGTACTCAGCCACTAAGTCCAGGGTTGAAAAGAAGGAGAAGGTTCTTGCTACCGTCACAAAACCGGAAGGTGGTGACTGGAATGGTGGTACCCGAGTAGTGGAATTCCGCGTAATGCCTAGGTATTATTACCCTGCTGAAGACGTGCTTCAGAAGCTGCTGCGCCCGGCAAAAAGCCCTCCAGTCAGCTCTGAGGAGGCTGAGTGCGAGCATCACGCCGGGACTGTTCTGCTCGCCCTCACAGGGCACCACAGGGGCAACAGAAGAGTTTTCCTGAAGCAGCTGGACAGTGGCTTGCTCCTTGTGACCGGGCCTCTGACCCTCAATTGAGTTCCTCTGCGGACAACACACCAGGCACCTGTCACTGTCATCGCCACTGAAGTTGGCATCAGTGGTGTGAAAATCCCAAAGCATCTCACTGATGCTTACTTTAAGAAGCAGCAGCTGCGGAAGCCCTGCTACCAGGAGGTGCTCTTCTACACAGAGAAGAAGAAATACAAGCTTACAGAGCAGCGCAAGGTTGATCAGAAAGTGGTGGACGCCCACATTTTAACCAAAATCAGAGCCATTCCTCAGCTCAGAAGCTACCTGCGTTCTTTATTCTCCCACCAATGGGGTTTTATCCTCACAAACTGGTGTTCTAGGTTTCTTGCAGAAGACCTAATTACATAATGCTTAAAGTAAAAATAAATGAATAAATAACAGTGTATGCATACAGTGTAATGTGACTGCTATGCACAACTGTACAGGCACATTTAAAAGGCTTAATCTTGAGTGATAAAAGATAATTTTTTGAAACAATAAACTTTTAAAAACAATACTAATTGAAATAATCTAGTCATAGAGCATACATTTTATGATTCCATTTATAGAAAATTTCCAGAAATGTGTAAATATATAGAAACAGAATGATTAAATATCACCTAAAGTTAATAATTTAAGGTAAAAAATGTCAATACTAGCAAAAAGTATTAAAAACCTCTTTACAAAAGAGATAATTATTTACCTGATATATATGAAAATATATTCAACTTTATTAAGTGTCTAGGGAAAAAATGTAATTTGACACTACATTGAGATACCCACTGATTGTCAATACTATAATTTTAATTAATGTTGGAGAGGATGTGATGAGAAAGGAACTCAGATATTCATTGTTGGTGGGATTGTAAAATGGTCCAACCATTCTGGAATGAAGTTTGGTGCTTCCTCACAAAGCTGAACACAGAAATTCCATACGACCCAGCTATCCCACTACTTGGAATATACTCTGAGAAAATGAGAACTGAGGTAGAAACTGAGATTTGTACACCAATGTTCACAAGAGCATAATTTACCATCACAAGAACATGGAAACAGCCCAAATGTCCAATCACAAACAAATGGATTGAGAAATTATGGTATATTCACACAATGGAATACTAGGCAGCACGCAAGAGTACTGATTTTGTAATTATTACCTAACTTGGGAGGGACTGGAGAGCATTATGCTGATTGAACTAATAATTCAGTCCCACAATGATAATTATTTTATAAAACCATTATTGCAGGATGAGTATAAAAATCCAAGAGGGGTGGGAGAGGTTGGAAGCAGAGGGATGAGGATGTGTATGGGAAGGGGAGGATTAATCATGGGGTTGTACAATTTGATGGGTGGGGCGGTGAGGAAAATGGAAAGAATTTGTTCGGGAAAGCAATGTGTTCGAATTTTGTAAATAAACTAGTAGAAAGTTAAGAAAAGAAAAAGATGACCTCTCACCATTTTTAATTTTTTTAAAAAAGAATATTAACCTTGAAAGGAAGGATGTATTTTATAGTATTTGAGGAGGGGGAGAATAGAAAAATACTTCATAGCATTTGTGTTTTTAAACCCAGTTTGAAGTGTACTAGAAGCCACACTTTAGTATTCTGTTTATAAGCCCTCGGAAAATAGGAAATGTGTTAGAGGACTAGAGGATGACAGAAAAAGAGTAATTTTAGGAAAGCATTTCACAAACTCTAATTCCTGTAAAATATAGATTAGCATACAGCTTTAAACAATTCTTAATACTTCAGATGTTAAAAAACAGTCTTCCATTCCATGAAATGTAAGTCAAACACCCAAATTCATTATTTTGAAATAATCTTTAAATCTTAAGCCAATTACCCACCTTGATGTCTTCTTACAGCCAAGCAGGTTAGTAGAACTTTCACCACACTTCCTTGTGCTGACTGCCCCTGGACATGGCCTTGCCCTCTCCCTTCTTACTATGTGTCCACTGTCTACTCACTCATTTTTATTCCTCTCTCCCTCCCTTCTCATCTCTGGTAACCATCCAACAATGATCCTCTGTGTGTAAAACTTTCTTTACCTTTTCGTAATAGTGGTCTCATACATTATTTGTCTTTTTGTAAATTATTTCTTTCACACAGCAAATGTCCTCTAGGTTCACCCATGTAAAGCAGTGCCTGGAGAATTCCTTATTGTGTTTTAGTGTTGCATAGCTCTCCACTGAGCGTGTGGACGGTAACTTCTTTACCTGTCATTGATGGTACCTGAGTGGTTTCTATCTCTGTTTTTGGAGATAAAAATGCTGCTGGTGCTGCTTCTGCTGCTGCTGTGAATGCTGTCTGTAAGGGCTGCTCGTCTTTCCTTAGGGTATACACCTACTAGTGTGATCGCAGCACCATAAAAAATAATGTCTGTGAATTAGCAGAAAATATCAGCCTCTGCACAACAGAAAACTACAGAAAAATTATAATCTGTGGTTGTCATCTCTAAAAGCCACACAATAAGACCATCAACAAGGACCACTTACCTTTTCTAGTAAGTAGCCAATGACTAAGAAGCCTTTTCCCCCGAGCATCTGTTCCTGCATGGCTACTGAACTCTTAAGTAGTTCAACCAGGAATGCCAAGAGAGTAGCACTGTGTGTAAAGTACAAATAATGTCATTATGTAAGGATCAAGAGCCTTCCGTTTCATTATAATATCTTACAAAAAGAAAATGACTATATAAAATGTCCTCTAAACTACTTCATTCAAATAGTTTTTGTGGACAAAAACTATACCTTATAAAAAGATATTCTCACAAACAAGCAAGAGAAAATTGGATTCATCTATTTAAATTTCAACACTATGAACTGAAACCTAATTATATAGCTTCTACTTTATAAGTAAAAAGCATCAAAGAATGTCTATATACATATAAATCCATACTCCTATACTCAATACATCTAACATCATAACTCCACATCCATGTCTCATTTCTCCAGAATACAGACTTTATCCTAATATTCTTTTTTATAACATGCTAGAGTAAGGAAGTTTCACTATGTCTGAAATACGGTTCTGAAGAACTGTACTTATTTATATCAACTTTTAAAAAACAACATGTATATATTTTTTAAGATTCAGGGAAATATGCAATGTGTCCTTTATCTTATATTCAAGTACGCCCTCAGGAAAAGTTCATGAGAGCAGGGAAAATAAACCATTTCTGTAATATGGAAATAAAAAGTGGCAATTAATTGCAAATGTACATACACACATAGGAAACCACACACAATGACGTGCTAAATATTACACAGTTCTTGTATCTGTTCTGAATGAATGAATAACAAAATCAAAGAAAAACTGAATGAAATCATTTGATCAAACTGTGACAATTACTTACACAGAGTAACCGAGAAATACAATCTACAATAGCAGCACTGATATAGGAATCGACTATTCCTAATAAGGCTCATATTCTCTCCTTTTCTATCTTTACTGGAATTGATAATAATTTATGGCTTTAATTTAGATTTTATAATAAAAGTATATGTATTCATGGTATTTTGCACTGTACTCTAAATTGTCTGTTAATAGTCACAAGAAAAGATAATATCTCAAACTTCTAGATGTATTTTAAATGAAGAACTGATTCTTAAAAGTACGTGAGAAAATTTAGTAATGAGAGAAACTTGAAAATTACTACATTCTGAAAAGAATCTAAAAGTATTTTACCTGTGTTAGGGCTTTTAAAAACACTTCTAATTTCAATTAAGACTGAAAAACGACATTTTCTTTGCTGATGTGACTAATTTGGTTCAAATAAGAAATATCACATATAATGAATATTTTAAAACAAATAATAAATATTTTTAAAATTTATAGTCATGGGTCTGTAGAATTTATTTTCTTTTTATTCCTTTTGAAATTATACACAGAAAGAGCATGCAGTAATTTAACTAATTGAGCATATTAAATTCAATGATACTATGTTTTCTGAATGGTATGAACATTCTCAGCCTCTTTTTCTAAGTTGTTCTTCCTCCCTGTGCATAAACTTGAAGTTATTGTAATATGTCTACTTTTGAGTTCTAACTCATACTTACCCTACATACAACAGACGAAAATATTTCTGGGGACATGGACTTACTACCATCTAAATTTTCTATCTGGTCTTTTAAGTTGTTGTTGGCTGTTTGAGCTAATATACAGAGATTTTAAAATGGAGCAGTGGGGAAAAGAAACATTCTTTACTATTTAATTTAAACTTTCTACTTAAAAAATTAAGAAATATGTAGGTTTTGACATTTGAAGATTTCCTCAGATAAGTAATTTCAGAAGTTCATCTAGCATCCATGGTCCTAGAATACCTAGATTCCAAGATATTTTAAAATTGTGTTCTGTATCCTTCACTTCTTCTCCTACACATTTTGATCAGTATTTTTTATAATTTTGATCAGCACAGAACCTTTGAATAAAGTGTTCTATAATAGTAACTAGAAACAATTCAGTTGTTCTGTCTCATGACAAAGAAACAATTGCCAGGGAAGCCATGCATCGCACATTCTGTTTTCCTCTCCTCCATCCTATTCTTCTTTCTTTGTTGCTTCAGGCAAATAGAAACCAATTGTTGTATCTTGATTGGCAAATTGTAGGTATTTAACATTCTAGACACTACACAGTTGAATGCCTTTACATAGTGATTAAAAAACAATGAAACATCTTCCTACTACTCTTAGCTTTAGCCAAGATACATCTAAGTCAGCAGGGATATCTCTTACTCTATTTTTTTTTTAATCCCACTTTGAATTTCTGATACTTTTCTGTTGATATTCTGCTCCAGTTTGGTTACTTTTATTGTTTTGTTGTTGCTGTTATCTTTGTCAAGATTTTACTCTTCTGGGATACTAAAGATATCATTGTATACTTTATGTACTGTACTGTTGTTGTTTATTGCTGCAGAGTGGAGCATGACTCATAGCAACCCTATCAACAAAAGGCCCGAGACCTTCATCATTTCTTCAAGTTCATGGTTTCCAGAGGCATGTGGTTTAGAAAGTGGATATCACTCCTGCTTCCAAACCTGTCTTAAACTGTGGGCTCTGCCAAACACTGTCCACCATGAGCAGCCATTATGGCATTTGACCCTCCAATGGCACAAGGTTGAGCATCACAGCAATCCCAGATTATTTCAGTGCAGCGAATTGAAAGAGGAGTGCTA